CTCACCCCCTGCCTCTCAGCCTTCTTTTTACTTGCCACTCCAAGGCAAACCCCTTCGTCCAGCAACTCCCCTAGGCCCCCAACCCTTTTCAGGTCATTCCCACCCCTCCTATATGCCTACTCCACCTCTGCACACTTTGTAAAATATATTCCTTAAAAATATGTGCCAGTCCTGTGCCTCTAGGATAGAAAAATCATTAGCCAAAACATGTTCCTACTTTCAAGAGACGTCCCATCCATTTAGGCTGTGGAACCCCATGTTCTAAGAAACTCTAATTACCGGGCTTCTCCACTGCACGTTCCCTACCTCCACACCCCCACTGGAACTTGCTTTCTTCTTAGAGATACCACTTCCTCCAAAAGCCTTTCTGCAAGAAGACTAGTTCTCCCAGTTCACGCACTGGTGAACCCACGGAGAACATGGACTGTCCTTTCCACACCAGGCTCACCATCTTCTTCCAGTCCCTCCTTCCTGTCTCAGCCAGCTTGGGCTGCTGTAACAAAGTACCACAGGTTGGGGGCTTAACCAACAGAAATTTATTTCCTCAACATTCCAGAGGCTGCAAGTCTGAGATCAGGGTGTTGGCAGTGGTGGTGTCTAACGAATGAGTCGTCTCCTTGGCTTGTAGGTGCTCCCTTCTCTCTGTCCTCACTTGGTCTTTTCTTTGTTTGTGTCCGTGTCCTAATCTCTTCTTATAAGGACACCAGTCCTGTTGGATTAGGGCCCAACCTAATGATATAGGGCCTTCACTGAGGTAATTAAGGTGGGATCAGGGCCCATCTTAATGACCTCTATGAAGACCCTATCTCCAAATATAGTTACCCTCTGAGATATTGGGGGCCAGGACTTCAATATATGGATTTGGCGGAACACAATGTAGTCCATAATACCTCCTCTGGTGTTGGTGACATCTGTTTATGACTGCTTCTTGTCATCTGTATCGAGTCATCCACTGACACCAACTTCACATTGTTCCTTTCAAGCCCCATCCCCTTCTTCATTGTTAGGGACAGGACCATCCAAATCAAGGACATATGCCCTGTCCTTTTTCATAGTTTTCTCCATTTCCTCAACCCCATGAATAGGATTTGTGCTCCATTTCACAAGAGTCATTTGGGTCTTTTTCTCCAGAGGTCTCCGTTCCTGTTTCCCCACTCTTAGCCCCCTTCTTTTCCTCACACCCTGCCTCAGCCTACCAGCCACTGAACCTGCTCTTCTTCCTGTCCTAGACCACGCCCAGGTCTCTCAGTCCCCGCCCCCTTCCGGTGCCATCCTGCTTGTGATGGATTTTACTCATTTCAATTTCCAACCCTTAGTATTCCCTACCATACGTTTTTTTCCCTCTGTGGCTTCATGGTATTGAAGCTAAAACAGCTGAACTTTTCTGTCACTGATTCCTGGGTTCTCCTCTCTTTGAGCCTCAGCCCCATGGTGCTCCCTGGCTCTCAGCACTGCTGCTTCTCCCCATTCAGAGCCATCAGATGGGAACTCTCACAATGTGCCTTTTTCCCGTGAGTATTTCTCAGTATGTTCCTACTATTCTTTTACCCTTCCTTCCTGTCATAGAATATGGATTATCCTTCTTTTCCCCAAGGATGATCTCTCTACCATTTCTTCTCTGCCATAGATACACACACACACACACACACACACACACACACACACACCTTCCTTCAAAAGCTGTTTCTGTCTCATATATTTGTATTCTCTCCCCTCTGGATATGTATTCCTTTCCTGTTGACATAATTGGTCTGGGTGGTTTACCCATTCTAAAACCCCTTTCCAGACTCTGATATTCATAGGCACTGTTTCATAGATAAGTTTCAAGGCACTGTTGAGCAAGAAGTCTCAATTTCAACACTATTGTCATTTGGGCCAGAAAATTCTTTGTTGTTGGTGCTGTCCTGTGCATTGCAGGATATTAAGCAGCATCTTTGGCCTCAACTCAGAGAGATACCAGTGTTACCATTTCCCCAACCTGTGACAACCAAAAAAACGTCTCTAGACATTGCTGAACATCCCCCTGGGGGTCAGAATCACCCCAGTTGAGAACCACTGGTGTAGACATTAAGAGGGCTCTGGTAGATCAGCTCTAGCTTACTGTGATGGGTACATAGAATATCCGGCTACAGCTTTAGAATATAGTCTGCACATATGGCACGTATCTTAGGTTGATGTGAAGGACAGATGGTTAGAAAGCAAACTAGCAATATTTATCGCTGTACATTCACATACCTTTCCAATTAAATCCTTGTTAAACAACTACCCAGGCAACAGTGGCCCTTCTGCAGAACTCCAACCCAGAGCACTTTATTGGGATGAGTCAAGACAGTCAAGTAGGCATCGTTATTGGCAAACTAATTCTCAACTGACTAACAACTTCTGGGGTCAGACTGCCTGGTGTGCTCAGCTCTGTGTACCAGCTGTATGATATTGGGACTCTGTTTCAGTTTCATCAGGTGTAGAATGGGGAAGACAATAGCACCTGCCAGATTGGAGGTGGAGTGGAGTGAAGCAAGATAATACACATGAGGCGCTCAGAACAGTGCCTGGCACATAGTGGGTGTTCAATAAATGGTAGCTGCTATTATCCATGTTCTTGGTACTTTCCTTTCTGTTCCTTTTGTCACCTAACTTCTCACAGAGTATGGCCTTCACTTCCTCTTCTTCCAGTCACTCTTTAACTCCTTGTTTTATGGCCCCTGACTTCCACTCTCAAATCAACTTACTTTCTTGGATCTGACCTTATTTTCAGCTACATGCCTTGATTTCTCTGTATGTGAACACTGTTAAACACCTTTTCCCTTGGCAACCCCTACTTCCTTGACTGTTCTGCTTCTTTAGGGGAACATTAGAGAGAAGGTTGGTTTGCCTTCTCCTGCCACCTAATTGCAGGCATTTCCCTGGGTTCAACCTCTAGCTCTTCACTATCTATCCTGTCTCTCAGATGTTCTTCAGGCCTTTTTCCTGGGTCCAATCTCCTGTCATCTTCAACACATCCATCTGCTTCTTCACACCACTCATGCCACTGGTAAATGGACCACCACCCATCCAGATACCCAAACCTGGGACCAGAGAAGCAGTCTTCCTTCATTCTTCCTTGTTTTCCACAACCAATTGGGTCCAAGCCCAGTTGATTCCATCTCTAACATCTCCTACCTTTAGTCCCTCGACCTATCCCAGTTTTCACTTTAAAATTCTCTTTTTCTGTGAATGTATTCTTTTTAAAAAATATATATTTTATTGAGTTTTTACAGAGAGGAAAGGAGAGGGATAGAGAGAAACATCGATGAGAGAGAAACATCGATCAGCTGCCTCCTGCACACCTCCTACTGAGAATGTGCCCGCAACCAAGGTACATGCCCTTGACCGGAATCGAACCTGGGACCCTTCAGTCCGCAGGCTGACGTTCTATCCACTGAGCCAAACCGGTCAGGGCCCCGCACTGTTATTGATCACTTCATCACTGCTGCAGTGATTTACCTTCTTTTGGTGATTCATCTCTTGGTCAGTGCTCCAGAGGGATTTTTTCTTTTCTCTCGTATCAAATTGGCCGAATTTTTAATCTATGTCCTAATTATGTCTCCAATCAATCCATTCCTCTCTATCTCTACAACCCAGTGGCTTACTAGATCCTTATCACTTCTTAGATGGACTCTTCTATTAATTCCTAACTAGCCTTACTGTCTCACGTCCTTCAGACCCTTCTCCACAGTTCCATGAGGGAGGCTCCGTCTACCCTCCTTCTTAAGCCTTTTCAGGGCCTCGCTGTTGGATAAAGTCCATGGCAGCTGCGAGGTGCACAGAGCTAGGTGATCTGGCCCACTGGCTATTTTTCCAGCTTCATCCCTTGCTGCATCCCCTCCTCCCTCTGTTCCAGCCACAGAGGTATTTGCAGTTCAGGGAACTGACCTTGTTTTACATCTCATGCCCTTGAGTTTACTATTCACTGCTCCGTCTGCCTGGAGGGCCCTGCGCCCTCCTCTCTGCCTCTGAGATACTTACACATCTCGTGAGATTCAGCAGATGTGGCACGTCATCCAAGTGGCCTTTTCCAATGTCCACATTTTTTTTCTTCTTAATTCTCTTCCGTGGCAGAACTGTATGTTTTCCATATAGTTCTGTATCGCCTTGTCTGTCACCTTCCATCTCAATGGGCTCCAACCTCTGACTTTCTCATTTTGTCATTCATTCTCTCAGTCACCTGGCTAAGACCCAGGTGTTATCTTGTTCCTCATTTGTTCACACCCACATTCCCAGCCCACCAGTTGTTTTTCTGTCACTTCTTCCTCTGAGGTGGTTCTTGATCATCTATTCTCCATTCCCTTTACCTCCTCCCTAGTTCAGGCCCTCATACCTAAGGTTTTCCATGAATGGCATTCAAAATTGTTTGTGGGATAGCCTCAGCTTGTTTACCTCTCAGTCTCATCATCTGTATATTCCTGTGTATATTATAATCCAGTCACACTGGAATCCTTAGTGATCTTTGAATAGGACTCATGACAATCATACTTTTGCACCTGCTGTTTCTAATCCCATCCTCCACCTACAAAATTACTAGCCCTTCTCCATGGATCAACTGCATTGCTTTCTCTTTCATGAAGCTTTCCCCAATTATTAGAAGTGACCTCTTTTCTCTGAACCCCTGAATTTTGCACCTACTTAATGGTTCTTACATATGTTGTTGGTTTGCATTTCACGATTACTTCATGTACAGAGATTCAATTATGAACTCTTTTAAGGCATGGGTTATAAATTATCCATTTTTGTATCACTTCTCCACTATAGAACCTAACACAACTTCATATATGTATATACATAGCTTCATTGAGATACTAGAGGCCCGATGCACGAAATTCGTGCAAGGGGCACTGCCCTTGCAGCCACTGTGGCTTGCCTCGGCCCTCGCAGCCCCGGCTTCATCCGGAAGGTCATTTGGCTGTCTGGTCTAATTAGCATATTATGCTTTTATTATTATAGATAAGTTACACATTCACCCATTTAAAGTATACAATTCAATGGTTTTAATAAATTAAGAGTTGTGCAGCCTTCACCACAATCAATTTTAGAGCACTTTTTGCTGTTGTTGTTAATCCTCACCTGAGGATATTTTTCCATTGATTTTTAGAGAGAGTGGAAGGGAGGGGGAGCGACACAGAGAGAGAGAAACTTGGATGTGACAGAGACACACTGATTGATTGCCTCCAGCTCGAGCCTCGACTGGGGTGGGGATTAAATTTGCAACCTAGGTATGCGCCCTTCTGTCACAGGGCTGATGATCTAACCACTGAGAAACCGGCCAGGGCGTTAGAGCACTTTTATCAGCCCAAAAAAGAAACCTCGCACACATAAGCAGTCAATCCCCATCATTTCCCCCCAACCTCTCAGCCCTAGGCAAACATCAATCTAATTTCTGTTCCTGTAGATTTACCTATTCTAGACATTTCATAGCAACAGAAACATAACATTTGTCCTTTTGGGTCTGGCTTATTTCATTTAGCTTATTTTCTAAGTTGATCCATGCTGCAGCATATAATGGTACTTTATTCCTTTTCATGGCTGAATATTATTCCATGCATGAGTGGACCACATTTTGTTTATCCATTCATTAGTTGATGAGCATTTGGGTTTCTACTTTTCAGCTATTATGAATGCTATGAATATTTAAGTACAAGTTCTCATGTGGACATATGTTTTCATTTCTTGTGTATCTACCTGAGTGGAATAGCTGGGTCATGTGTTAACTCAATGTTTAACATTTTGAGAACTGCCAAGCTGTTTCTAAAGGTGGCTGCACCATTTTACATTCCCACCAGCAATGCATGAGGGTTCCAGTTTCTCCACACCCTCGCCAATACTTGTTATTATCTGTCTTTTTCGTTGTAGCCATCCTAGTGGATGTGAAGTAGCATTTCACTGTGGTTTTGATAAATATTAGGTGTTTGATAAATATTTGTCAGATAAATTATATTTATATATAACATGAACAAACAGACCTTTCAACAGGTCATTTGACTTGCAAGTTTATTAACTAGCTAGAAAAGATTAGCACAGGGTCCAGAATGATTATAATTCAATTTGTAAGTTTTTTTTATATTGTTTTCTCTTTTTTTAGTTGCTAGTGTTATCTATGTAACATTATAAAGGTGGCGATTTGTCATGAAAATTCATGTAGCTTTGTAGGTTTGAATGTATTTTACAGAATAAGCTAAATTCCAACCAGAATTCCAACTTTTGATGTTGTCCCTACTCAAACACCACCAATGAATGGGGAAACTAGGAAAGGCTAATTCCTGAATCCAAGACAGGGCAAATGAATAAAATAGCATTTCCCACATGGCCTTTCCTTTGCCTTCTCTTTGGAACACGTTACAACTTGGAAGCTCCAGACACCAATTCTGTGGTGACTGTGTGAACTATTACTCTTGTTTAAAGACTTGCCTCCTCCTAGGCTGGCCTGTCTTCAAAAAAGCATTTGATAGTACACTTGGGTACATGGGCTGGGGGTAGGGAGAGACGTAAGAAAAATGCAAGTGCTAAAACTTCTTTGGGTAGAGTTTTCCTCAGTAAACAGTAGACCATGGGAAACATAACAGGTTCTGAAAACTTAATTTTGATGAATCTGGACGTTAGAGAAACAGCCAGCTGAATCAGTTCCCTCTCGGGCAGTGGCTTAGCCTTCTTATCTCAAGTCAGAGGTAATGGTCCAACTACTTTTGCTTGGTTCTAGAGAGTTCTATCTTGGCCAAAACCCATCTATTTAGTCCAGGCCTAGACAGACACTTCTGCCTGTAGCCCTGAAAACTAGAGTTCCACTTAAGGCTGCAAATTAAAGGCGCATGATTGGGCTTAAAACTTTGTATGGTGTGCAGGTGTCCTCAGAGGAGCTGCTGCGGTGGAATCAGTAGTAAGCAGAGTAGCACGCTTTCTGTATGTATAACACCATCTCGCCTAACTAGTCTCAAGTAATTCTACTGTAGTATTGTCTGCAACTAGTTAAGAGGCATATATTTTCCACAACCAGTTACCCGGTTATCTGTCTGAAGTTGTTTCCAAAGGCTGAGAACAGGCCCTTTCAGAACCTCGGTAGGAAAAGTATTAACAGTTGGAAACATGTCAGCTGCTTTATGGAGGAAGCACAGCCCAGGCCTGGTTTCTCTAGGCTCCGTGATAACTTGGGCTGCAGCAGCCGGGCGAAGCTCGGTGGTGGGAACTGTAGAGATGGAGAGCGGCTCCGAGGAGGCCCCTGCTTTTCAGAGTTGAAACAGGAGCCCTCTGAGAGAAAGAGATATTGCATGTGGCTTCCCTGATGCCTCGGAGGGCGAAGTGGATGACACAGCATCAGCCGTTCCTTGGGGGGTGGGGACACTGTGGCCGCTAGAAGCCTGTGCCCTCATTGGCCCCTTGGGGGCCACAGCCATAGTTCAGCATCAGTTGTGGAGTGTGGTGAAGAAAAGGTGACAAAGGCCAAGTCAGCGTTCAATTGGTTGGAAGGAGAACACGCTCCCGGCTGGCAGCCTCAGAGCTAGAAGGACCGCACCCTGGGAGAGAAACGGCTTTTAGTCGGGGGCGGGTGCAGCAACAGTTCCTAATCTCCTGCCTAATCATCTACTCGCTCCACCTGGATGCGGAGCGAGGATCCGGTGGAGAGAGAACCGCGCGGGTGGGACTCCCCCTCTCATTTACCTCCAAGACCCAGAAGGACAGCGCCAGGTCAGGCACCTCGACCCCCACGCCACCCCCTGTGGCCTCCGAGGCGCCCCTCTCTTGCCTCTTGGGCATTGCTGCCTTTCCCCCCCTCCTCTGTTAAAATAGTGAGAAGAAAAAAACACACACAAAAACACGGAGTGAAGTGATGGAAAACTGGAGGCGGAGAGTCGCCTGCAGTGAGGGGCGGGAGGGGAGGGGGCGCGGTGGTCCCAGAAGGTGGCTGGCCAGCGAGCGCTGAGATGATCGGCATCAGGCTCAGCGTCGGCCGCCGCCGAGACCTTGTCCCTGGGGCTGCCCGACCCATCCCCTGGCCCGGGGCGCCTGCGGAGGGCGTGGGGCAAACCTGGGGCTGCGGTGGGGGTAGGGTAGACCTCACCTCCATCCCTCCCGGGATGGAAACCGCGCTCAGCCCGCTGAAATCGGGGCGGAGGGGACAGGCGGATACCGCGGTCCCTCCCACCCCCTCGCCGGAGCCGCCGCCGCGGCTGTTCAGTAACACGTCCCCAAGAGACTGGCAGGAGCAACACGTGATGTGTCTACTTATCAGGGTGAGAGGGGGAGAGCGAGTCTCCGAGCGTGCGGGCGAGGGAGCGGGGCGGGGGGCCGAGGCGGGGGCCGGGACGGCGGCTGGGGTGCCGGGGTCGCCAGCTCCGCGCCCACCTCCCTCCCTGTGGGAGAAGAGGAGGAGGGGAAGTGACTGCGGAGTTGATGAACTTTGCACATCCAGAAACGCCATTTTGATTCCTTTTCCGGAACAAGTTTGCATCTCTCCTCGCTCTCTCCCCCAAGCCCACCGGTGCCCACGGCATCATGCCCGGGAGCCCAGCGCCCTGCCCTGCCGTAAGTACGCGCCCGGGGCTCCGGCTCTCGGGACTCGGGTGGCAGCGAGATGTCCGGGGCTGAGCGGGAGCGACCTTCTGAAGAACTTTTGGGGATGGGGAGGGCGAAGTCTGCGGAGCGTGTGGTAGTTTTCAAACTCGCCGTTCCCCGGAGCCGAGGACCCCGGCGCCCCACGCAGCGCTACGTGCGCTCGGAGCGGCGGGGCCGGCCCGGGATGAGCTGGGCAGCCCTCTCCCCTCGGGCTGCGCGCCGGGCCGCTCCTCCTCCTCCTCCCCCTCCTCCTCCCCTTCCTCCGCTCCTTTCCCCTTCCCGAGCCGCCGGCTCTGCCAACCAGCTCCCAGCGCGAGCCGCCGCGGCCGCCGCCAGGACCTGATGCGCATCCATATTAGCCGTCCGAGCGCTGGAATTCGGCTCGACCCGCGCCGCACCCACCACCCACTTTATTTTTAACCAGCACCGCGGGGCCTCGGATGGTGCACGCACCGCCGGCCAGAAACATCTTCCCAGCGCTGCTCTCCATCTTCCGCCCTCGCTCCCCCGACATCCTCCCCCCCATGTGGGAGGGGAAACTTTTCTCCTACATACTTTCGAGTCCCTCCCGGGCCGAGCTGCGCGGAGATGACGGCGCCCGCCCGCTGCCGCAAGGTATCCGGGGGTACCCGCTGAGGGTGCTGGCGGGGGGTGCCCGCTCGGGGCCGCGGAGTGGGAGCATCTGCCGCGCCCTGCTTTGCGGACTTTGATCCTCCCTGGCAGACGGCGCCGGCCGGGAGGCGGCCGCGGGCAGCCCTGCGCCCTCGCCCGCTCCGGGCTCGTGGCTGGGGGTCACGCCGACCACCGCCCGGGGTGACCAGCGGAGGCGGGGGCCGGAGCTCTGTCCGCGTATTGTTCCCCGGCCCTTCCGTTGGCGGTGTACGTGTTTTCGTGGGAGCCCTCGGTGTGGAGCGGAGCCTGCATCGCGGTGGGGGGGGGGGGAGGGCTCGGCTCCCGGCGCCCTTCTCCGAGTCCAGGAAGGAAGGCCGGAACATCCGAGGCGAGCCCGGTGCCGGGGTCCGCTTCAGCCGCCCAAATGGAGAGAGGCCTGGGAAGCTATGCCGCTGCCCGCAGGACCAGTCTTTATTTTTTTTT